AAAATTTTGAAGAAAATCTTGTTTGTTGTTAGCGCATAAGAGACACAGTACAAGAACGATTCATTCTTGTAAACAGTACCCTTGTAACGATGTCAATGTCATTACTGTCTGCATACATTAATTTCAGCAGAAAAATGGGTCATATAAGTTAGAGATGATAGGTGGAGCTTTAACTTATGAAAGGGAGTTTTTCAAAAATGTCAGAAGTTTTGTATCCATAAAACATTTGTGAGAGGAAGGCAGATCTTTCCCCCTGACCTCAGTTTGTTAATGTTCCATAAAGTGTTGTGCCCTGTATGAAGTTCTGACTAACTATTCCCCAATGCATCAATTAATCCCTACGGACAAATTTGTTTCAGGTACACAAGAAATATTCTATAAGAGTTTTCTGATCTTGTTCTTGTCTTAATACAGTCCTTTGTGTAGAACTAGGTAAGTCATAATAATAAAAATACTTATACTAACACATATAACTACTACTACTTAGCTCTTGTATATTGCTTTTTATATAGTCCAAAAAGCTTTAGAGAAAAAAAGTAGGAATTCCTTTCTTTTTTTCTTAAAAAAAAAAAAGTATCACAAAACCGATTAATATTCTCATTTCAATATGTAAGACAACCCTACCAACAGACACATGTCCAACAAGTAATAGTCCCAGTTATCAAAGGGCCATAAGAAAATATTCTGTTGGGATATGTAACAAATAATGATACTTTGCACGTATAAAGCACCTTTCATCCAAGGATCTTGGAGTGCTTTACAAATATTATTTGAGCCTCACACCAGCCCTGTGAGCTAGGTACTGCAGGGCTATTTTACCAATTAGGAGAACCAGATATACAGAGATTAAGAGCCACTGTTTGCTCTGATTCACACATCAACAATAATGTGGAACTCAATGACCAAGGGTTCTGAATGCAGCTGAGCTGGGATTGGTGCAATCCTATAGGATGGGGAGTAGGAGGCATCCTCAGGGGGCTGGCTCTTCCTGCTATAAGATGCTTGATCAGGGTCAATGAGGTTGAGGTTGCACAGAGTGTATGTCAGCACAAAATTTCACCGCCAGCGACTTGACGACAGTCACACTGAATCAATGGCAGAGATTGGAATAAAACCCACATTTCCTGACTTCTAGTCACCTGCTGTAACCATACCACACTCCCCTCACTTTCATTTCAAGAACTTCTTTAAAAAATAAGCATTGAACTAAAAACTGTATCTGTTTTTTAAACTTATAATGAAAAGTAAGAATAACTCACTCAGCGGCTACAACGGAGTGGGATAGTAGTATGAAGCAGAAAGGGGGCCACGCCAAGGAAGTGTATTGTAGCAAACATCAGCACCTTGTTGTTTCCCACTGTGACTAAAACACAGGCCACAGGTGTGCCACTTAAAACTGACTAGGTGTGCCACATACCCATTGGTTAAAGTCAATTAAATCCATGGCGCTGGATCTGTTCCTTGGCAATCATGCCAAAGATAGTAGAGGGTGGTTCAACAAGATTCCAATTAAATGCATTCTTCTGTTGTCAAAGCAACAGCCTGATCTGAGCAGTTTTGATGATAAAACAATGCTATAGTAACAGGTTAATCCATTAAAAAAATTTTTTTTGGCTGCACTTTAATTTAGATCATTTGGATTCAGGTGTTTGGCATCAAGGTGACTATGAACATGAGGGTAGGATAAAAAGGAGTCTGGTCTGTATAACTATCATTTACAGATACGTTACTCTTTTAGAAAATAGGAGCACTGAGAACACTTTCATTTTGGAGAACTAAGGAGGTTGGAGGAATTGGGAAGGGAGAACTGTCCTACAGTTTGTTTTCTGTGGACAGAAGCTGGGTTAGCTCAAAGCAATGTCTATAAAGACTAACAGTCACTAATCTTCATATAATAAACGCACAGCTTCAAAAGGTGGTTTCAAATGAAAAATGTATGAGTGATTTGGGCACTTAAAGTAGACAAAATACCTTTCAGGTTGAGTACAAGTATTCAGACACAAGCCACCAACACAGCAAGCAGTGTAAACAGTACTCACACAGAGTGGGTTTAATGAGTCATATACCATAGAAATAGAAATACACACGTCAAACAGACCCCTTATAGTAATCACTAAGCTCAGTATCTGAGTTGTTTACACTAAGGGCCATTCGTTATGCATGCCCTAGCATGTGCACAATAGGAATATTATGATGAAGAGTTGAGTAAATCTACCCCACCTTTCATCAATACCTTTATGAATCAAAGATTCCAGGGGGATGAATTGCGTTATTCTGCAAAGTATTTGAAAACAAGGGCCATTGTTAGTTCCACAATGCATTACTGATCACCAAATAAAGACAAAAGCATAAGGGAACAGTTCATTATTGAAGATGAAGAAAAGAAAAGTGTTCGGCAAACAAGCTAAAATGAAACAACATGCTTTTTGTTCTCCTATTTCATAGTTAAAGTATAACTAACTTTTACATTTAAGAAACAGCTTGCTAAATATAACCATGACGAATATCTGCTGCTACTTTCCTGTCCCTCTGATTGCCCTTTGGAGCTAATTCATACTTATATAAAATGAAAAACTAAACATATGATGCTTTAAAAAAATCACATGTTTCTGAAGATCCATGTTAGTAATACGGCAGGATGGGAGAAGTAGGCTGCAGGCCAGTAGAATGTGAGTCTGTGATTGGGTGTGGGAAAAGGGGATACTCTAGGCCCTCAAGTGAAAGTCTTTCAGTACAAGAGCATCCCTCACTGGCCAAGATGAGGCACTGACCTAGATGAGGTTTTTCCTCATTCTTCTGGATGAAATACTGATGCTGAAGCAACCAAGAACAGAACCATGGGGATGCAGTGCTGGAAGTATATCATAAAAGTAGGGCTGATGCCTGAGTGAATTCAGATAAAACTACGCCAGCGATCTAGGATTTCTTTCTCTTTCTCTCATATACACATGAAAAACAGAGAGAGAGATGAATATGGTATTTCCATATATATGTGTATGATATATTTATATTCCATAGATACATATGCAGCTATACCTAATTAATTCAAATTATGATGGAAACCACTATTAAAATAATAACTTTGACTTCAAGTTATTAAATGGATGAAGATAGATTATGGTCCAGGTTCTGGCATTTCCCGGGAACAAGGATTAGAGCAGGGAGAACAGCTGTAAGTGAGACTCCAGTGTAATATTCTACCAGTGTAGCTGCTTTAGATATGAACTGTGTGTGCCCTCCCACAGTGTGTGTTTCTGGGCTCTAGAAGGCACAGAAGTAGGGAAATGTAGGTAATGCAGGACTCCGCTGCTCAGTTGTGCTAGGCACTATGCAAACACATGGCAGGACATGGCCCCCCTGTCCTAAGAGTTTCAATTTCATTTAGGACTAGCCATAACTTCCAGTAGACTTCTACACAGTTGCTTATCATTTACCTCTATTGGACACAGTTGGTTAAAGTGAACATAAAGTAACCACATCTGACTCAAATGTCATACACCCCTTAAGTGAAAATTAACTAGGCCCTGTGTTTATTATAGTGGAGCTTGCTAGACCTCCTCAGGTTCAGGGTAAGTTAATGTTTCCTTTATGAACCCCCTTTATGAAAATTGTGAGTGCTTTATAGCTCAGCCATTAAATTTAGCTCGAGGGCAAGGCTTCCCACAAAAGGTTTAATTCTGGGACTGATTTTTTTTTGTAATACATTTTCAAAGAAATCTCTTTGGTCATTTATAAAATATAAAGAGTGTAAAAACAGCTAATTGGTTTAAGCTCTTTTTAGAGCTCACTATAACTCAGGAACAACTTTGGATTGAGCCCTTTTGGTGTTTGAAGCCTAGCTACTGAGTTCATGCTGGGAGTTTTTTATTGTGTTTTAAATATGTATATCCATGCATAAGCAACTATGAACCTTTTTATAGTTATTATAGTTTGTTTTTCACCCTTGGGGGTCAAAATCTTTTAGCCTTACTCATGTGAACACAGTGGAATTATATGAAGTTAATGATACTACTCACACGAGTATAACAAGCAGGTCCAGGTCCCCTTTGTTATCGACAATATCATTCTAGAAGGCTGAAACTACATTTCATTGAGTTTTATTTATTTACTTATTTCTGTTTAATCTCCTTTTTGCACAGGTTTTCAACAAAGTTAAGAGTTCCATGGCTCTAGGGTGTTTTGATTACTTCATTGTCCATCTTTGTTGATATTAACGATGGTTTCATCATAATTTTAGGAAGATGGTCTTATTAGCAGAGCTATGCAAACTTGTTCAAATTTAAATTAAAAACTTGTGCATTTTTACAGCAAACCATTTCTGCAGGTTCACAAGCCCTGAAGTATGAGAAGGTTAAGGTTTGAGTGAACACACTTTTCCTTATTGATGAATAGTATGACAAACCTAGAGACACAGTTTGCTCATCTGAGTTCATAGAGCCATGCTGGGTTACCAGAAAGGGAAGTGGAACTAGTAGCCAGGTTACAAAACACCATATGACTTGCCCCACATAACCTATCCTGTGAATCAAGGTTGAATTCAAATTGCATTTTTTAAAAATAGCAGGCTCAAATTGAATGTGAAGATCCAGACAGCAACCTAGCATGAAAAAAGAGTTGGAGATGGATGAAAATATAAGCACAAGTAGGGATCTGGAGTGCTGTGAAGGTTCATCTATGGGCTGCCCTGGCTATTGGTGCTGCACCCACTCGCCCCCGCAACTCATCCAAGCAAAAGTAAACTTTCCAGTGGGGGCAGATAATATCAGCCCTAAGGCTGGATGAAAGTATTCAATTTTCAGGATTTTCACTGGAAAAAGAAAAAGACAAATTTGCATCAAACTTTTCCTGAAAACATTTCCATTTTTCAATGAGTTTTATTCTGTCCTTTCCTGCCACACTCTGAGCAATGCCAGCCCTACTTGCTGCTTTATTCTTGTCACGCTGAATGCTCCATAGCAGCAGGGTGAGAAGGAAGCAGCAGAATTTAGCAGCCTCTGAAACATTGTTAAAGCAGCACCCATTTTACTTTCAAGTACAGAAACTGCTGGAGGATCAGGGAAAGTGGAGCGAAGGCATCACAGAAAGAAACTGGAGGGTTCCTTCCTGTTCAACTTCTCCAGCATTCTCGTTATTCTCAGTTAAGGTGGGTCCAATTTGGCTCATGACTAACACTCAATATTTTTTTTTAAAGAGGAATGAGAATATAATAGTCCTCTGCAGATCTCCCAACATCTGCACTTTTCTGGGTCCTAAATTCCAGCTATTTCCTCAGAAGGGGGAAGGGGGAACAAACCCAACCCTCTGATGAAAGAGTGGTAAGAACATGTGTACATTGTTCAGTGCTATTTGTAAGACTTACCCACACAGGAGAAAATTTTGCTCAGTTTGTTTTTGGTTTAGTTAAACTTTCATTTAAAGCAGTGGTTTTTGAGCATCAAGAGGCTTGATCCGTTGAAGTCAGTGGAAGCATCTCCATGGTCTTCAATGAGCATTTCATCAGGCCTTATAAAAGTCATTCGTGCTTGTGTGTGACAGAGGCAATAGTTGCTGTTCTATATATATGGTTGAATTGAGTTTTGCACTTAAAGCAGTGATTCAGCCTCTTTGTTATGTATGAAACATACAGTGGATCTACCCCCAAAACTTTGGCTTTTACTCTGAGTACAGAATAAATTTTCAGTTTAAATTTATTCATGAGTTTATGAATTAAAATTAATTTCAAAATAGGCCCTTTCAGAAATTTAGCACTTTTATCGGGCCTTTCTTGGTCCTAAATTAGCTTAATTAAATAATTCAGACTCTTAAAACTTCTCTTATAGTTCAAACTCATTGAACTGTCATGCATAGAGTACGTGTGAAGAAACAGGTTGTAATTAAGCTAAGTTACTAATGATCATTGTATCTAAATGTTTTGATTATAACACTATAGATAGGGTCGACTCAGCACCTTAGATCATTTTACAATGGGATCATTGTGACATCAGAGATAACAACCAATTATCACCCTCTCTCAGCAGGTAATTTGCATGATATAATTCAGTTGGTTGAAATGAATCAGTTACAAAAGAGAGACGAGACTTATGTCAATAATTCTTCTTTGGAGGTTACTTGGCCCCAAATGTCCTAGTTTCTTAAAGGTGCACAGTCACATGCTAGCTTGTACTTGAAAGGATTCCCATTATAGGCTGTAATGGCGCCTCTGCCCACCGAGGCAGCACTGCCAGGGGTGCAGAAACAAGGGTGTGGGGGAATCACTTAAAGTCCAGGCATTGGGAGTCATGGACTAAGCTTCCCCACCAAATCCCCCTGCTTCCTAATGAAGCTCTCTTCCCCAAGCATTGGCTTTCTCCCCCCAGACCCACATAATTCAGTCCCACTGAAAGTCCCATTGAAGGACTTGTGCTCCTAAGTCACTTAGGCGATTTTCAAAATCTCACGCAATGAGAGCTTGCAAGTTGCAAAGCAAAAAAATACTTAGCACTTAACATTCCCCAAGCTTTGTCCAACATTCAATAACTAATTCTCGCAACAACCCAGTGAGGCAAATATTATGCCCATTGAAAAGCTGAGTGGAACTGACACAAAGAGGTTGTGATTTGCTCACAATGAGTCAGTGGCAAGGCAAGGAGGAGCATTCAAAAGGTCTCAACTTCCAGGGTGGTGCACTAAATCATGCTGCTTCCCAAAGGGCTGGCCATTCTCTGCCAAATCTGCCAAATAATAAAGATCTAAATTTTAAGCACCAATACAGTGCAGATGTCCTTGATGTGATTTCTAAATTGGTCAACCAGCCTTGTACCAGATACTCACAGATCAGGCAAAGTTTACACGCAGATCTTGCACATTTATTTATTAAACATGGTAATGGTGCCAACATTTCTAGAGTGAAAGCAAAATTACCAGCAATGGTGCAAACAGAACAGTCTAATGCTGATAAAGACACCGATTGTTATGATTATTAAAGTCAGAAAACTGACTGCAGATGATAAAATGTACCCATTTTATGATAGAACATTGCCAGAGCTCTGTGTGTGTATGTGTGTGAAATGCTCTAATTATCTGGGTTAGGCAGAAAAGCGTACTATGCTATTCAACCCTGAATAAACAAGTGCTCTGAGACGCAGGCCCTTATACATATGAATAATTCTGAACAACATTTGGTCAAATTCAGCCGTGACTTATAGGTGGTGGAAGTGGCAAAGTTGTACAGCATTCACTGGTATGTGGCCAATAGTGAATGTGCAAGCTAACTGACAAGGTGGGGGACGGAAGGAAGATGGTGCAGCTAGAAAAGCAGCAAAGGTGTAAGATAAAGCAAACCTTACCAACACCTCTTTAGTTTACACACACTGATTAGTCACTTTTGCTGCTATGCTTCTTCATGTCTCTCAGCATATAAATTACACACATTGGGTTAAATCCTCATTCCTTAAAGTCTGTGGCAAAATTCCCACTAACTTCAAAATGGGCCAAATTCTGAATGCTGTAGGACAAAGTCTGATCTCCAGTATACATATGGAAAGCCTGTCACACTACTGATACAGTTGAGTTATTCCAGGTTTACACCAAGATAGTTGAGAACAGAATTTGGCCCTGTGATGGAGTGTCGCCATGCTCCTCTCTCATTTCTAGCCACAAACTGCTTGGAGACCCTCTTCTGGTCAAATTTATTTATGGTGTTCCCCCCACCACCCTTGCAAACTTGTGCAGTTTTGTATTTACAATAGCATGGATCCCTTAGCTCACTTAGCCAAAGGAGCGGGGAGACAGATGGTACCTTCCCCAACAGATGTCTTCTGGCTTGGACTCTGAAAAGCCTGCCAGAGTCAGGGGTGCTGGAACAATTTGTATAGTGGGGGTGCTGAGAGCCATTGAACCAAACTGTAAACCCTGTATATAATGGAAACCACTTCAAACCAGGGGGTGCGGAGGCACCCCCAGATCCCCTAGTTCCAGCACCTATCGCCAGAGTGTGTGTGTGAGTTACCGTAACAATCACCACTTCCCCTTCCACTCCCCCTCCAAATGCTTTCTCCCTGTGCCTTTTCTACTTTCTCAGCTAATGGGTTAATTAGCCTTGTAGCTCTCTCCGGCCCATCCCCAATCTATCAATTAGGAACAGCTTTGCCCCTCAGGTTTACTCTTGGGTGATTTAATTGGTGATCCAGTGATCAGAGTGCTGGTACACTGCTGTTGCCCAGCACTCTATCACAGGCTCCACATTGGGAATTTACATTATTTTACCCTTCATCATATTGTCTGTCACCACTTTATTGGCCTAAAAGACTTCTACTTACAAACACCTATTTACACCAAGTCTGAATTTGGCCCATAGTGTTAAAAACTTACTGCACTGTACACGTTCTACGCAGCACTTTGTGATTGACCTAATGGGCATGCTTCTGTTCTGGTCATCTGACGTGTGTTCTGTACCATTGGTGAGGTCGCTTCACAAGGTTCTGAGACTCACTTCAGTAACCAACCAAGTTCAGATGGTTCTCTGACTCTCCCTGAAAGTCTTGAGTTTGCAAAAAATAGCACAAACGGGCTCTCATTCAAGATCTCTGATACACTCTTTTTGTGTTGGGCCAGAAGTACCATGAGAGCAATTTTTCTTGAGCTGTTGCAGTCTTACGATTCCTGTTCCAGATGGAACCTGAACATGAAAAGAAATTATCTGAACATTTCACAACCTGAGAAATAAATAGAGAGGGTCCAGAACCCAGCACCCCGGGGCTTTGGGCAAGTTTGCATCCAGCTCTGAATTGCAGAGCTGACTCCTATCCATGAAACAGACTGAACCAAAATCTTGGATGCAAATAGACCCAAACTTTGGGGACATTCAGGTCTAGATTTTTGCAGCCTCGTTAAATTGCTCCTTTAAAAAAACCTTTATCTGCCCCAATGGCTGAAGTTCTTTTGAGGCAAGGAAACCTTATTATTTTCTATACCAGTTCACATAGTCCTGTTTACAGGACAACAGACCTCCCTGTAATTACATGTCTTATACTTTATCAAGATTCTAAGCCAATTTATTTCTGCAAAAAATGTGTCTTTAAATTGTGAAAATCACTCCATAAATCCCTAGTTAGAACAGTCAAGGTCTGATACCTTATCTGCGCTCTTACTGTGTACGAGGTCACATCATCAGCATGTAGATGTACAGAATATTTCATGAACTATACAGCGTCGACAGGTCATTAATAAAAACTGAAAAAGTAAAAGCCCTCTAATTAGCTCCTGAGGTAACTTTGCATGTAACATTTTCACCTCAGATTCAACACCATTAAACAAAATGAGTGGGTTTGCTCACTAATGTAGCCAGAGAACCATTCTACTGTAGTTAAACTCAGCCAAATTGAGGGAAACTTAGATAGCAATATGTTGTGATTTATTGGATCAAAGGCCACAGTCAAATCAATATAGATAGTTCCTGCATAAAAAATTATAATGAATGGCTATAACAATATCATCAAGGTTACCTTGAAAAGAGCAACCACGCAGACCAAAAAACCATGACTAAAAATAGGGTCAATACATTATCTTTGAAAGGAAAGCTCATTAATTTTTGAGTAATTTGGACAAAACAGAGAAAACACAAATAGGTTACAATTAGGGCAACGTAATGGGCTTACTGTAGCATCATTTCAAATGGCTGGTCATCTCAAATTAGAAAGGAAACATTATAATAAACATAGCAACAGGTTTGAAAATAGATTAATGAAGCTATTTAAGGAAGCATGGGGTAATATTTCTAATGTTTAGCACACTGACTGGGATGTGAGACTCCCAGCTTCTATTTCCAGCTGTCAACTAACTCACTGGATGCCAGTTTTGTGATTCAAGATTTGTAGAGTACTTTGAGATCTTCAGATGAAATGTGCTACAGGCATATAAAGAGCATAGTCTGAAGAGACTCTGCTGTTCTTTTCTTCTTGTTCAAACAAAGCACATTTGAGACAAAAGTCAATGGAATGATCAGGCCACTATATTAGTTACGTAGGTTGGACTGAAATGAAAAAAATCCCACTATTCTATTGGTTTCAGCCTATTAAGAACCACTTGCTAATCAAAAGTGTACTGATCTACTGTGATCCATAGTGAGTCAGGTAGCTCTCAGTGGACAGGGCCACTGTCTCAAAA